AGAGATGCTACAAAAACTACATCATACAAGTTGGTATATGGACATGAAGTCGTTTTACTTATAAATATTAATCTACAATCGATTCATATACAAAGACAAAATGATTTGCCTGTCAAAGACTACTGGAATTTAATGTATGATGAATTGAGTTCTTTGGATTATGAGAGGATGTTAGCATTGCAAAATCTCATCCAGTGAAAGGAAAGAATCAAGAAAACATACAACAAAAGAGTTAAAAATTTGTAATTTTCTAGTCGGAGATTTAGTATTGAACACAATTCTTCCCATGGATCAAAGATCTCGACACCTAGGCAAATGTTCTTATAATTAGGAAGGACCATTTTTAATTGATCAATTGTACTCGAAAAATGCGTATGTAATTAAAGAAGTAAATTCTAAGTCTACGAGCAGGATAATTAACGACAAATATTTGAAAAAATTCCATGAAAGGTAAAATAGTATGGGAAATTGTATCAAAGTGATATAGAATAATTACAATCATGGGCAAAATTTCGACTTAAAACTCTTATAAGCCTGATAGGCTTCATCTAAGCTTTGTCTTCGAGAAGCACATTGAGTTTCCAGACATTTCTTGTGCTCCAGATTTTTCGAGAGTCTTGAAGAGATCTCATTGCCCTCATCTTTGAGACTTTTTTGTCGTTGAATCACCTTTTGGCTTTGAGTTTTTAAGGCTGCCTACTTAGCTCGAAGAGTATCGAGTTCTTTTTGCAAAGTCTCGAGAGTTTTCTCAGTATCAGCTTCTTCTTGCTGTAATTGCCTCAGAGCATGAATAATTTCTTTTGTGGATTTCCTTATTGAATGTAACTCCTGTCTAAGATGCTCAAGCTTGGCACGATCACCCTCGATTTCTACTTCAGTATGGGCCACTTCTTGAAAAGTGTTAGCCCATTTACCACGAAGGTCATAGGCAAGGGTAAAAGGCTTGATGAATTCTTGGAGCTCAAGGTGAATTTCAGGAGGAAGATCTGGGTATGCGAGCAAATCATTAACCATTTTCTCAACTTCGGTCTTAAACTCAGGAATGAGAAATGCCTGGTCGAGATCCTCAATGTAAGCCTTTAAATGAAATGATTCAAGCAAGGGTTGGAAGTTGGCAACTGACTCTTGGGCTTTCTCAGAGGCGGAAGTACCACTTGTCCGATTCTCTAAGACATTGAAGATATTATCAACTTCGACGTCATCATTGAAAAAGATGGTTAAGTCCAAATCACCAAAAGGTATTGAAATAGGAGGTGGCATGGAAGACTCAACACCACCTTGATTGGATTATAAGGGAGTAAGAGGCCTAGGAGACGTGGGAATAGTCGAGTCTACACATAAAAGGAAACATAGTCAGTCTTAAAATAATCAATTATAGTTGGAAAAGGGTAAAAGAAACATATCTGGACCAGGACTGATTGGAGGTTTCAGCTCAAAAGATGGAGTTTCATCTTGAGAGGATTGATGAGGGGTCTCAGCATTCGTAGTTGGTTCTGACAAGGGAGCATCACCTTGAGCATCCTGAGGAATAGTTTTGATGCCCATAGAGACACCCATCAAGGAAGAATTTGCAGTGTTTAACTGAGGAGTCACCAACTACACAATAAAATGTGAGTTAAACACGAGGAAAATAAATATATACATAAATTGAAAACATCAATCAAAGATTCCAAACCTCTTGGAAACAACTAGTCGAATGAGGAATATCCTTAGAGGCATCTTGAGAGGAAGAGATGTCAATTACATCAATATCCTGAACACAAGAAAAGTTCTCTTTAGTAAAATGATTGAACTAGAAGACAGAAGTCGATAAGGTGGAATACCTTGGGAAGAGATTTCAATGCATCCTGTAACAATTTTTTGACTTTCAGTATTTTAACAGTTTTAGAAAGGGGAAACTTTTGTTTTCCTTTCCCTTTATCAAGCTTCTTTGTTGTCAAAAACTGAAGAAATAGAGTAATTACTAAAGGAAGATAGTGAATGATAAGTAATATAGAAATACGTACAATCTTGCCGCTCGTGGAATCCGCTTTTGTTTTTTGTTTTTTAGAGGTCTCGAATTCCTCAAAAGGAAAAGCAAATATAAGAGTCGGATTATCGAGGTAATTAAATAAGGGAAACCCATTGTTATACCTTTGAGCGTAAAGAAATTTTGTCAGAAACAGTCTTCCTTTTTTTGGGTTTCAATGAAGCATCTTCTCCACCCTCACCGTCACTCTCCCATTGAAGAGTTTCATCAGGGTGTTGAGGAACACGTTGAGGGACAACAACTATACCAAGTGAAAATGAGCATTAGTTAATGAAAAGGAAGTTAATACTAATAGAAGTTTTGTCATAGAGAATTACCAGGAGGAAGATTGCGGTTATTGACCCAACACAAAGGCCACCATTTCTCTTGAGGAAAATCATACACGGAACATCTCGCATAAGTAACTCGATTTTTTATAGGGATATCTTTGTGCTCTAGGTAAAAAGGATCAAGGGTCTTCACCCAAGGAGGATAAGATAAATGTTTGACTAAACCAAACCGAGCGTTTAGAAGAGGTGGATGATTTTTAGGGAAAAATTTTTCAAAATATGTTTTACCTTGACGACTAATAACTCTCTTTGAGCGGATGTTCCTTTGTAACATTTTTGTTACAGAGACGGAGGCATAAAAAATGGTTCGACCAAGGTTTTTGGGTCGATAATAAAATTTAAAAAATTGCTCGAATTGATAAATAATATTACAATTCTTGTAAGTATCTAGTAGTTTTGGGCCCTGCGAAGAAAGATGAGAATTAATCAGCTTTTTCAGGAAATCATCAAAGGTGAACATTTTGTCAACATAATATTAACACCACCAACGAAGGAAGCACTTTGATACAAGGAAGGAGGAAGAGAAAGTGAAAGGGTTAAGGAAAAGTTATTTTTCAGGACGTGGTATGAAACTTAGAACCTCCTTAATATCTCCTCTATCGATACAAATATCAGCATCGATTTTTTCTTTTCGACGGAGCGGAAAAGGTTTCATTTGGCAAAGACCAAATTGTCGAACAAAGATTTATGGTTGGTAAGGATAGATTCTAATGTCTTTTTGTCGCATGCCAGATAAGATAACATCCCAAGACAAGAACCCAAACCACATATCAAGAGATCCTTCAAACATATTTCCAACTTGATTATTCTCGTGAAGCCAAGAAAGGCCTAATAAATCTGAGCGAATAAAAGGAGCAAGATCTTTAGTGAATTCATCGAAACTCATAATCACTTGAACATATTTAGCAAATTTGTCGATTGAACGCTTTTGAGGAGTTAGAGTATTCAGTTGAACACCTTCGAGTTGGCATAGGGGAGTAAGAAAAGGAGAAGTAAGTTGAAGTTTCTTCTCGAAAATGGCATTCAACCATAGTTGTAATAACCAGAGTGGCCTAGAGAGATTGCGATGTAGACACCCAATTTCGTCCGGGGGCATACAAACAAGGAAATGGACCTCTGTTATGAAGGGAAGGAGCTCCCGAAGCATGCAAAAAATAGGATAGGACATCAGAAAGCCTAAAACCCAAATAAATTGGTTTTAGTAGCCTGGAACGGGATGTTCCAAAATTGGAACTGGTCGTTCCAAGCCACAAAAAAGGCCTAAAAACCTAGCCCAGAAGGGGCCATTCCAAAATCAGAACGGGTCATTCCAAGCCACAAAAAACGCCTAAAAACCTAGTCTGGAACGGGCCGTTCCAAACCAGGAAAAAGGCCTAAAAATCTTAGGCTAAAATGGGTCGTTCCTAAGCCAGAACGGGCCGTTCCAAACTGCTAAAAAAGCCTAAAAAACTTGGTTTGGAACTGATGGAGAAGGTAAGGAGGATTGGTAGATGATCTTCTCCTTAGCTTCACCTTAGCTCGGATCTTCTTCAAAGGAGATGGAAACCGTAGTGATGAACAAAAGAAGAAGGATGATTCACGAATTGGAAGGCCTAAGCCTTGGAAGAAAGTATCCAAGCTTAAGCAATCAAGAGATTGTGATGGGTTCCTTCTCCATGAAATGACGTAGAGATG